AATCCTTTAAAATTCATGTCGACATGAACAGTATCTAACCAAAATTCCTCGGGGTTTATCTAGTGGGATGAGGTAGGGGAAATATAAATAATAGAATCTTAACCTACATCTGCGGTAGACCTAGGCATCTTACATCATCAAATTACATTTTAGGCAGCTACTATGCAGATCCATCCATTTTTTTTTTTTTTTTTTTTTTTTGTCTCTCTAATCGCTGCTTGGAAATAAAGAAATCAGAAGTGAATGCGAAGTTATCAATCAGGAACTCGACTAGATTTACTAGTGATTACGTATTTACTTACATAAAGGATGTGCTAAATATTACACAGGCGAAACTGGCTCCTGACGAAATGGCAGCTGATCACACAAAGGACGTTACAATAAAGAACCTAATCCGTTGCTGTATCCACTGACATGATGGAAGGCCGCTAGATTAGTTTATAAATCTTTAAATTCGTAAGGGAAAAAAAAACTGCCTGAAGCCCTTACATCGTCCATACTTGAAGGATCTCTTGGAGTGTTTCACCTCGCCTCCTCCCGAGTGTTTGTCTGGGGTTTTCCTCTACTGTATATTGCCAATTGTGTGTGTATTCCGAAACGTCTTGCTTTAATTTCATTTTCATTATGGCAGTATTCCACAGGCACACACACACACACACGCACGCATACATATTTATGCGTGTGTGTGTGTGTGTGTGTGTGCATATATATATACATATATACATATACATACATATATATACATATACATATATATATATATATATATATATATATATATATATATATATATAAGCATGTATTATTATATATATATATACATACATATAACATTGCATACATACATATATATATATAAATAAACATACAGCATACATGCTTGTATATATGTATGTGTATACATATTTATATACACATATGTATATGTATATACATAAAATATATATATAATACTGTAATACTTGTGTTTGCGTGCATGCGTTTCTGTATGAAAAGTGAGTGAAAGAAAACAATCTTTCTGCTTCTGCAGGATATGAACGGAGATCGGCTTAAGCCAAAGCGTGAGACAAAGAAGCCAAAGGATTACAGTAAATAATGACTTAAAACCGCAAGCAAAAGAGATCGGCGCCAAGAAGAGAAGAATAGGACCCTAAAAGCCGCTGGCGAACGGACCCACTCAGCCAAATCGCCGACACCGCCAGGAACAGGAAGGCGCCCCTCGGATCCATGGCGCTCTGTACTTCTGTCCGGAGCGAGGACTTGCCGACAACTGTTACTCGTGATGAAAGGTGTAGTTTCGATAGAGAGTGTGAGAGAGAGAGAATGTCGATACAAAAACCGCAGGTGCACAGCGTCAATTTTTTTAGCATAAATATTGTTCGTTGGCTGTATGTACTTGTCCGTCAGAATTTTATCAATATAAACTTTTCCCGAAAGTGCTCTTGCACCCCACATTTCATCTAACACGTGGTAAGCATTACCTCAATTTTTCAGGTAAACATATCAGAAAAGGTGAAGGAATGCGTCACTATTTCACATGTGGTCAACGCATGTAAAACACAGACCATTACTGCATGAGAGGAAAAAGAAGTGTAGAGTACTAACATCCCAGAGATCACACCGGGCTTGTTAGACGTGAAACAATATGACAGGGATGATAATAATAGTACGATAAAGAAATAAAAAATACACATAAGAAGTTGATTACGGTCTATTCTATCAACACATTTTTATCTAAAGGAATCACAACTCCCTATAGGCGCATTCTTGACGAAAAACGCGAGCAAAATATAGTTTGGTTTGGTTTGCTTCGCCTTGTCGAATTCGTTAAAACAGTCCAGACATCCATCTTGCTGTCAATGTAAACAAACTACCGTAATGTGAGACGACTCATTCCCCTGTATCGGGGGGGACCGAATCATTCGCGGAAGGAAAGAGACGGCGCTGTTAGCAACCATAGGGAAATTGCCGACGAAGAAATCTTACATTCCTTTTACATTAGCCAAAGGAGATAGACGAAATAATAATAATAATAAAAAAATAAAATCAAATAAAAATCATCTACATATGTAGCACAAACTTTATGATTAACTAAAAAAAGCGAAAGAAGTCTACACACTTTAGAGCAGCAATCTGTAAGGATAATATCTACTGCTCGTAGTAAAGATAGGTTTCAAAAATGGGTTTAGAATGGAAATAAAATAGAAATAAAAAACGCACTTTGAACATCCACGGATGCCATAATAAATGGCTAGTATTTATCTTCTTGGGCATAATAAAGCTGTCATTATACTCCAGTTAATACTTCTGGTCGACACACATATGGTGACAACTTACTAGTTTATAACATAATCTATAAGCGCAAAATCAAATGAATTTTATCGTTGGCAGTTTGTTTACTATAGAGACGTCATGAAACTGTGGCAAATTTCCTCTGGAGCTAGTCTGAGAATTCTAGGTTTGGTTACGAAAACAGACCAGTATATCTGGCCAAGGAGTTCCGTCAAGAGACAATTATGAGCAAGAAGTTTCTAGAGTTTTCAAGAAATCTTGAAAGAAATTACACAACAACTTTGTATCAACCTCACTTTCATCAAGGGAGGGTATTTCGGGGTTATGTGAAGTATTTCCATTTTTGAGGTATTCTGATTGTGTAATCGACTTCTATTAGCATATCCTCCGTTATATGTTAAAAAGGAGTAGATAGAGAGCACAATGATGAGTAATGGCGCTGATTTCAAAGTCAACTGAACTATTTCCACTTACGGATCATCAATCAACGAAGGTCATATATCTAACTGCGGGCCAGTATTGGTCCTCAGTTAGATATATGACTTCATTGTTCATTAATAACCAAAGCTTTTAGTGTCGTATAATAACTTTTGTTTTAACATGTATTATATATGAAAATACTATTCAAATTTGCATTCAGTGTTATCATAGTATTTAACATTTAGGACGCACTTCATTTTGTTAAATTTTGAGTTAAAGTGTCTGTTCCTCCGTGTGTAGAAACTTTTTTTTTTTTTTTTTTTTTTAGAGAGAGAGAGAGAGAGAGAGAGAGAGAGAGAGAGAGAGAGAGAGAGAGAGAGAGAGAGAGAGAGAGAGAGAGAGAGAGAGAGAGAGAGAGAGAGAGAGAGAGAGAGAGAGAGAGAGAGAGAGATGTTGCTAGCAGTCGGGTAATTGTGCAAGCACTGACATACTACAAGTACCGATGTGTTCAGATGCGTCAAATGTCGTTCTTGTACTTTGTTCTTCCCTTAATTATATTATAAATGTTTATTTTCTATTTTGTGTGTTGTTACATTACAATAGCGCATATTGATAGCCAAATTCATTACATGCCCTTAATGTATAGATATCAAATGCCCATTGGTGTAATTCTTTCTCAGACAGACAGTATACTATTAGTTTTTCTTTTTCTTCAGTATTATGAAAATTACAAGTAGGCGTTCCAGTTCCTGAGATGTATTTCTTTGTTTAGTGTTTTTCATATCAACCAACGTATTTTTGTCCATTAGATTTTTTTTAGTTAAAGGAGTCATTAAAAAAATACTCATAAATGTATGATAACATCATCTGTTTGATTCGGTATTAATATATACATTTTTTTACTTATTTTGGCATCATTGTAAAGGATATTCTAGTCATAAGCTTATCTGGTCCTATATTTTCTTTTTTTCTTTTGTGCAAGGTCTTATTTTTTATCTAATTTTTAACAAAGTTGTCTATCAAAAAGAGATTCGATGTCCGACTAAATGGCTGAAATCCTTTAAAAGATAATTCAATACAATTCAGTACAAACATCGCCTATCCCCTGCAGTCGGCTTATCGGTCTACGGTTATTTGTCATATTCTGTAGGAATGGAGGCTCAATGTTTACTAAAATAACGTTCGTGTCTTCGCTTGTGGTTGCAGAGAAAAAATCGTAAAAGTGCATATCATAATCTGCCGTAATGATGAATATAGGCAAGTTCCGATCATCTGAAATTGATTTTATATCATCACCAAAGTGGATGGGATATATTCGAAATTAACATTGCTAATTTCCAAAGTGG